TCCCGGCTGTTAGCCGATAGATGATGATGATGAACCATACAGTAGAAGTTACACACTTGTCTCAAATAATACCAAATAAATAGTAGGTAAAATGCATCATTGTAATTTTTCTCACCTGATATTCTCTTGGGTTTTCAAATCATCTGGTCTGGTCCAATCTGTCTTGTCAGGTTCAGACAGACGTTCTCACTACTGCATCAGCCTTCATCTAACCATACATACATTATAAGTTGGACACTTGTCTCAAATTGAAAACTAGCAATGCACACACAGACCTTAAATATCTTTACTTTAAAACAAACACATACCTCGACAAAAACTCTACATAATGACCATAAAAACGGGCATAGAAACAACAATAAAATAAATCAACCCCCTTCAACTGAAACTTTATGTGGAATACGAAAAAAACTTGAGCTTGGCGCAAAATATTTTGAAAACAGAAATTGCTACCTTCAAGCATAGTCATCTGTAGTGTTTGCGCCAGAAATACTAGGGCTTGGTCATTACTAGTATTTACTAACTTACTCTAAAAAGGAAACGAACAAGCTTTTAAATCATAAATGATACATTGCAAATGATAATGAAGAACGAATTCAAAGTATGGTCAACTCGACTTGACTAGTTTTCAATTCACCGTTTTGTATCGTATTCATTTTGGCGCCATTAAGCTTTGCGATGAGGCCCCCATCTTGTTTACGCAAATTTTTGGCGGGAAAAATAACTAATTATGTACACGGCCACATTCCAACAGGTGTTTTGAACCACGTGGAGATAAAGATAGAAAAATTGGTCAATGCAGAATTTCTTTCGACAAATATAACCTTAAAATGCTGAACAACTGACTAAAAAGACATGCACATATACATTTAACACTCTACAAGTGCACCGCACATTGAAAATGTTGTTGAAAACGCGCGGCAACTTGATGGACTTTTCTAAGCCCATGTAAAATTAGGAACGGTCGCTACCTAATACAGAAATAGTTAATTTCTTACGGAATATGTTGACATGTTCGTACTAGTTGCTAAGGAATAATGTCAGCCAAACAATGTACTGGTTTACCTGAAACAATGAGCGAAGTCGTCTCCATTAGTCCATACCACGCTACTCTTCCCAACTGTCTCGCCATTTTTGTCTTCTCCGCCAGGTCAGGAAATCCGCATTTTCTCCTCAAAATATCACCAGAACGGCACAAATCCACAGCTAAAACTCCCAAGCATTCTGCTGCACACTTACTAAGACATTCTACGGACGAAAACGTCTAAAAGTACCCAGAAAGTTGTGAAAAAATCAGCCCAGAGAATTCCCGTCGTACGAAAGCGCCATTTTGAACTGACCTTACCAAACTTGTTTTACACAGGTGTGCAGAACGGCCGTGCATAATTAATGTCAAGTTGATAATCTAATTATGACCAATGACGGCCCGTTTCTGTGCCAGGCACTTATATGTGTCGAAGAAGGACGATTAGATTATCTAATTACGAAGGATGCTAATGTTGATGTCAATCTCGGTAAAAAAATGGATCAAAATGCAGCTATACTACAGGGCACCTTTTAAAAATCGTATTTCTATCTTCACAAATAAACGTTTTCAAGAATAAGCTGTTATGTGGCCACAGTATGAAACATATCACTCTTGTCCAATTTTCCCTATTAACCGTAAATTTATTTAGTTTTGCGGGGACTTTATTCCGTGGTAGAGTAAGGCCAAGCCAATTTAATTTGTTGGGTCTCGGTTATTTTCGGAAAAAATATGAAGCGACAGGGCGAAAAAAAATTAAAAACAAAACAGGTCTAGGCATCCTATTATATATAGCCCAAAATGCTATAGTAGGAGCCATGAAGTCAGCAAAAAAGGCTGGGCTAATATCTTAACAATGAATTTTGAACTTTTAACTAGAAAGGTAACATTTGCAAAGCAAATGCATAATGTTAACTTCGCATTTGGTCTGCTCTGTTAATTATTCTCACTCAAACACATTCACATACATTTAACGTTACTACTAATAATATATGGTGACAGGAGCAGAGCAGACCATGAAGTGTTTCACTCTTCTCCACCCATCGTCATAACTGACAGTTTCACGGTGTTAATTTAGCGCCGCGCAGTGGCAGGTGAAGGTACTGCAGCCACAGGCTTCCGTCTACCACCATCAAAACTGGGCTGCACTTGACCGTGTCACGGTGTCAATTTAGTGCCGCCCAGTGGCAAGTGAAGGTACAGGGTACGGCACGAATTTCCGGGTACGGCCAGAATTTTTGAGCGGGTACGGCTTGAATTTCCGGGTACGGCTTGAAAGGAGTTTGAAGGGGGTGTCGGTGTATCGGTTTGTAGTCATGGAGGTTCAAATTGAAGCTATCCCTGTCCTTGGTGCTGAAAGCTATTCCTACACATGCCCCCCTCCCCTGTTCGTAAGAATATTACGCGGTTGCCGAGCATTTTTACCTCCCCTAGCATCATAAATCGGTTCCTTTTCTCTGCAGGGTCAGTTCTTACGACTCTGTGGCTTATCTGAGGGAAAATAACTGCCCAAAGTATTTTTGAGCGGGTACGGCTTGAATTTCCGGGTACGGCTTGAAAGGAGTTTCACTGTGCGACGCTTCAGTATCGCCGTGTATTACGCCGTGACGGTGTTGCCATGGAAGCCAATGGCTGCAGTACCTTCACCCGACACTGGGCGGCGCTAAATTGACACCGTGACGGTGACTGTAACGTTAACTAACTAATCTCCAAGCAGATCCCTCACGGTGGCAAAAAGACTGTATGAAATTAGCCAGACAGTATCCATTAGCCAGAGAATCTCCATTAGCCATGACGGGTGGGGATCAGGACAAAAAAAAACGGCCATATATAAAAAGGTAACGATCATTCCCCACAACCTCTGCTTGGAGAGTAAACTAACTGCAAGTGTGATAATACCGGAATACTGGTATAAATTGTATAGGCCTTTGGCTTATATTCTTAGGCTAATAGCTACACATACTAAGGAAAACACTGACAACTTGAACGCATTTCCATGCACATGCATTGAACACAAAAGATGAACTGATTTAGAATGGCTTTATTCAAATACAGTCTAATGTACACCATGACACAGAATAAGTCAACTCTTTTCATTAGAATAATAAAGATAATAATGACAATAGGAATAAATAAACATGATTCTTTGATTAATTACACATCCATAGTTTTCAGGATTGTACATGATTAAATTTTGAGCTAACGACTACACATTGCCGCCCCCTTCTCTAGAATAAATATACATGTCAAATGGTACACTCTTACTTTACACGAGACATTGCAAGTCTCACTAACAAAGGAGTTTATTTAAATTTTAAACGTTTGGCAATTTGACACAGAAGACGTTAGTACAAAATAAGAATTAAGTGCCACTCCTAAAAAAAAATAAATAAATAGTGACAATACACTTAATTTGGTGCGCACTTGTTACATCGTGACTTGAATAACCAGTTAACAAAGAAAGTTATAAATACAAATATGGCACAATCAAATTGAGAGAATGTTTCCCTGCAACTGAGAGGGGAACAAATAACACTTTCTGTATTAATACAAATAAATCAATGATTACAATTGTCTTTCTTCTCCAGATTGTAGTGCAGGTATTAGTCTTGCTGGGGTAGATATACATGTATGTGATACACTGGACACCAAAACAAGTAGTGCAGGTGTGATGTGCACGCTAGTAATATCATAACACTGATCATGACCATAATATTCATATTTTCCAGGACTCCTTCTCAATAAATCCTGATTCATTATATCTCAGTACATATAGAACTATTACAAAATTTCCAGCAAGTGTCATAATCCTTCCTCATCTCTTTGAAAATTCTGACTTTCCTAAATCCATGGATAAAATTCCATGGCCTTTATCATTTTGTCATGGCAACAGGACACTTTCCAACAGCTTCAACCAGGCTTCTTCTGAACTAGAACAATCTTCTTCAGTCTTAGCACCAGACAAACATGAACCAAGCCAGATCAGACACTAGTACCAGGACACACTGTACAATAGAAAATTTCTTACATCTCTTTTCCATAGTAACTTACTTACAGAAGCATCTTAACCTCAATCTCCTTGCCACGGTTCATCTATAAACAAGAAGTGTATCGCTTACAGCACAGGTTTAGCACAACAGGGTTAGCTTCTTTTCATTGACACAAAAAAGAGAAGTTTATTTTAGACCTGATTATCATTATCACAGCTTTTCCAGCCTCTGTTACAGGCGTAACTGACAAGAAATAACATTTGACAAAGTCTAACATTCGTTGGATGTCTCATTTTCCATCCCTACAATTTGTTCCCATCAAGAGGAAAAAGAAAGAAACCAGGAGTAGATCTAGTACTTTGTGCATTACAATTTCAAAATATTGACAACACAGCCCCCCTCCCCCTACAGAAGTTATTCACACTAAAGTTGGCAGTGGTTACTCTCACTCAATACAGGACCTTGTCTAGGAAGTTACTTTGACAATGACTGCATGCTACAACCTATCAGTGCTTGTTACAGATCTCAGGTTAAGTTGATGGGACTTTGCAATTTCACCTCTAGTTCTTCAGAGCTTGGAGTAGGTTTGGTACTCTGAGTATCATGGAATAGATAATAGTTCAGGTCTTCGTGTATCATTTTCTGTGATGTTTTGAATTGTTCCTTTGGGTTGTGTTAACGGCATGTTTACAACATGCAAGAATCACAAGAGTTACCTTTTACTCCACATCAAATGATGAAAATTACTACAACAAGACCTAATAAATTTTGCTATTTCTAATCTGGATTATAATGATTGATGTGTGAGGTTCTCACTCTCCCCCAAGTCAGCATGTCGGCAGAACGTACTGCGCCTGTGTGAAACCCCCATTTTTCACGGCTTTCGTTGGATTTTTTTGTCACAATTTTGCCTGTTGCAGATGATATTTTTTCAAACATTACATTTGGAAACTACAGACAGAGTGTTAACCTTATACATGTATGCCCGAATACGACCTTATTTGAGAGGTTCTGTCTAAGTGCTATGTACAATACATTACGGGTTTTGCATAGGTGCAGTACGTTCTACCGACTTGCTCCTGAAGTCATGGCGATCAACAGTCGGAGGCGTCAGTGCTGGGATTGTCGGACAGGGTCCAGGTCTCCATGAGATGGTCGATGCTGTTCCACCGCTCCAGGATCCACTGGTCAATGTCCGACCAGCCCTCGTCCCGCGAGCCGTAACTCTCCGGCGAGGGCTGGGACCCTCCCATGGCCATGACGTCCCGACTCATGGAGGGTGACAGAACCGCGCCACTGTCCAAACTGTCCTTGGAACGAGAAGCCTTGGCACCGCCCTTGTAAGGAGAAGTGGATGCCAGGAGCGTGTCCTTAATGGTCTCTGATACCAGTCTGTCTATATCGTGGAATTTTGTGCTCAGATCTACGTCGACGCTGAGATCTTGGGGACTTAACGCACGGACGTCGATTCCTTCATCTACAGACAGACTCTCAGGGACGGGAGTCTGTAAAGGCAAGCGGCGGGCGAAGTCTCGCGCTAGCAGCCGGTCTTCCTCAAAGTCGCTGTCTCCCTCGTGGATGAACAGCGCGCTGTCCGTCGCGGCGCGCGCTCTCCCCCGCTGTCGGCAGCCACGCTGATCTGCTGACCCCTCCGCCTGGGCACCTGCCCGCGGGAACGGAGCAGGCCCCTGCTGTTCACCTCGGGAATCCCCTTCAAAGGACCGCAGTCTCCGTCTCACGATGCTCTCCGTACTGGAGACTTGTATTGTTGGCGTGTGCTCCTCTGACTCCTTTCCTGGGTACCTGCAGTGACAAAAAAAAACATTACCATTAACATCTATCAAATGATCTTTAAAAAAAGTCTCTACACCAACATGTCCTATAATTTAGAGAAGCAGTTCCAACACTGTCTTGTCAAGTATGTCCTAAGATTATGAGAGTTGTGATAGAAATATATGTGTCACTACCAAAACATCAAAGGAAGAATCCTCTTTCTATTGACATCAAACTTAACTGGACATTCCAGACAAAGCTGAAATTCTTGTTAACTAATTTGATAGTGTCTATACAAATTTAGATTTCTCACCTAGCATGTATCTCCTCAGTCCTGCTGCGTTGCTGGTACATCTTCCTGTGACCCCTCAGCTGGCTCATGTCGATGTACGCTTTCTCAGACCCGCTCGCCTGGCCACCTCTGTCCCTCAGAGACGCTTGTTCGCGCTGATTGTGCGGCTTGGGAGATTCCGTCAGGCGCTCGCTGGAATCCGTCAGCTGTTCTCTCGAGCTGGACGAGTCCGATAAGCGCTCCCTCGATTTTGAGAGTTGAGCGTAATCGATGTAAGCTTTGGCAGGTGATTTTGGCGTCTCCTGTTGTTTCAATTTGGGACTGGCTGCGACCTTGGAGTCACCTTCATCATCAGCAGAGGACACGCCAAGAGCCGCTCGGTAAGGAGCGAGATTGACGTACTCCTTTTCATGCTTCCTCGATATTCTTGACCTTGGCTTTGCCATCAATTCCTCAGCAGTGTTCTCAATGTCTCTTTCACCGACAACAGAGTCCTTACTTTCGTTTGCAATGTTCTCATCTCTCTCCTTCCCTTCTGTCTTCGCACCTCCACTCCTTCTTGGCGACTTCTTCTCTTCCTGCAATCCACCTCCTTCCATGTCCATATAATCGTCTTCGACCTTTACCCGTACTCGAGCGGGACGGTCCCCTCGGAAACTCCGGTCGCGCTGCACCATCTTCCCTCGTTCCACCATCCTGCGTTCCAACGTGCTCTGCTCAATCTTCCCCCCCTCTGCAGTGAACTCTTCCACCTCCTCATAACTTTGGTATCTGGTCGGTACGTTTGCTGCTGTCTCTTCAAACACCTGCAGTTGGGAAGAACACAGAATTTGAATGAGTTTGGCTGTCCAAAGTCATCATAGGTATCAGTATACTTGCGACACAGAATATCACAATAGCCTGGTATCAGTATTTGTCCAATTCCTACAGTCCTTTCCCTTGCTAACATGTAACAGAAGCTGAATAAGACTGGATACCAGGCTATGAATATACAGCAAAGATTTTAAAATTGCATAAGATGATGACAGTAACAAGAAGATCACTTAATTATTTTATATTCCATCCATACCTGACAAGACACAAGACAAAGTGAGACAAAGCCACGGAGTAAGAGCCAACCTTTCTCAATTTGGAAAGACATCAACAATTTGGAAAATTGCTTCTTTCCTTCTGTTATAAATTTGGTGACTTTACTATTACATGTACTCTGATGCCCCATATTCCCAATGTCTTTTAATATTCACTGAGACCGTTTATACAAATGTGGCAGTTGTTCTGACCTCATCGTACACCTGTAGCCGTCCCGTGCATGGACTCCCGTCTCGTCCCAGACGCGGGCTGGGCTCATGCGACCGCTGGCTCGTGTCGCTGTCGGTGCGGTCTGCCTCGGGACGGCTGTCCTCGCTCGAACTCGTGTTGCCACGGAGACGGCTGTACAACAAGGTCGAGTCAGACTCAGGAAGGTCGTTGTTGTTGGGCTCATCTTTGTCCTCTCCTTCGTCATTTGGAGTCCCCTGGTCTTTGTCTGCATTTGGATCTATAAAAAAGTGAAACAAAGATTAAAAATGGAGAGTCTAATAAAATACACCTGTATATCCATCTGGGGAATTTTTTCTTAGCATTGTAGCATTGTAGCAGTAGAAGCTGTACATAAAACATTCTAATGAAAGGTTGGTGAAATTAAAAACTTTAGAAGTCTCTTACAGGTAGTCACTGCAGTACTACTATACTTTGCACGGAGGCCTTCCAGTACCAGTACTCATCTCCATGCCAGCCACGAGATTGCTTTCTCAATTACTCCAAATAAAAAGACTTGGGAACTTCAAATTGTGGAAAACTGATGCACGAGCAGGTTCTGCAGTACTACTATTCCTCACTAGGTGTCCTTCCTGTACCAGTACTCACCTCTATCAGCAGGCCACAGCTCCAGCAGTGTCTGCAGTGCAGCGATGTGCTTTCTGAAGTCAATGGCAGCCAGCAGGGCTCCCTGAGCACCGTCCACGTCCGACCCCTGGGGAGGGGAACACAGCACCGGCCCGAAGCACACCGCCAGGTTGTTGTAGTCCATTTTGTTGACGGCACAGTTGGCCGCAACTCGCTTCAGGTGGTCCAGCAGGTAGCCAAGGGTTAACTGGAAAGGCAAGACATCAGGTTTAGTACAGGCAGTTGGTAATGGGAAAGTCATGTAGATGTACTGGCAAGTTGACAACTGTCAGGCGACTGGTAAAAGTACATCCTGTGAAACTACGAATCAGGCATTACCATATACATGTACATAGCTGCTTTTGACGATTGCTTGTTGCCTTTCCTCTTTCATCCATTGATCCCCCAAAGGATTTACCTGGTATAATCATGTTTCGTTGACTGTATTTTTGAAAGAGTTTGTATGATATTTGAGTGTTTAATGACTTAACAAAAGAAATTGTTGAAAAGCTCTAGAGAAAAAGGAGTCAGACTTTTTTTGCATTTCACTGGGGATGAAACTGCACTAAGGTTGTGTAATTTCTGGCAACATTTCATATTTTCCATGAAAATATTGGTCGATCATGAAAGCATCAGGTACTTCCGCTGATATTCCCACAGTCAGGAATAGTGACGCATGTACAAGCTGGCACCAGGACTGTGGCCATGCCTTCCCAGGGTGCCACTCCCACCAAGGGCAACCTTCCACTTCAAGTTCAAACCCCAGACCTCAAAATGTGTTCCTAGTTACTCTCCGTCAGAAACACAACACCGGAAATCCGAAGATGACTTATCGGAACTATGAAATATGTAGTAATTTCTCTTCTTGGAATACTAGTACTGTCTTCAGCATTGATCTTGATATTGATTGTGCACCTTGTCAAGTTTTTGACACATTTAGACACTTCCATCGGTATACAATATAAGTCTTCTTGAATCCTGTGACCAGAATTTTCACTACAACTCCTACACACTGGATTGAGGTAGACACAACTCCATTGCAGCAGATTAGAGACAATCAATTCTTGATAAGCCGCCCTCATAAACCTCATTAAGCTATCTGGAACTGCAAAGTCACCTTCACCTAACCCCAAATTTATCACAGCAGGGGGGAGGGCATTTGACCTTGAACCAGCTGGTCCTTATTAAAGGTCATGATAAAATGTCTGTCAAGAGCAGTTTGAGGCAGTGTAAGTGATTTCATTTGGTAGAGGTATCAATTAGGTTTGGCTTTACAGACAGGTGTGAAATATTGTGGACTGTTATCCATTCAGCCATTTCTGGGCTTTCTTTCTTTGAAAATAATAACATACACCGTAGTGGGATTGAACCTATTCACTGATTTATTGGTTCAAAAGGGCTGTAACATTTTAGTACTGGTATGAGGGACTAATATGATTGCCTTCACTTTAACTACTGATGATAGTCTAACGCCTAATTAATTTTTGGCCCAGTGCCCAGAAGTTGAAAATTTTCAAAAGAATTCATCAACTTTTCATACACAATCAAGTCTCCAGTCATGTGGATGACTCAAATTTCCTGTCTAATTATATTTTCGACATCAACTAATTACTTGTGAAAGAACTGTTGCCAAAACATTTCAGGATCAAAAAGCCAAATAAACAATCTTTAACATTTGTTTGATAAATCTTGAGCCTTATGTCTGGCTCTTGGCCTCCATTGATACAATGTGAAAAATATCCTTAGAATTGAAATGCATCATGTTTGAAAGAATATGAAGGCACGGTTTATATAATAACATTAACTTTTTCATCTTCTCCCTGCTGCCTTATCCCGTAACCAACTTGAGAATTGGTAGCTAAATTGCGACTTTAGTGTCCGAAAGATTCTGATGCAACAATCTTTAAAGATAACCATATGAGAGGTGGGGGAGGGGTTGAATTGGACCCAGGTTTGAGTCCACATGTCTACAATCAAGAAGAGGTTGATTGGGTGATGGGAGCATTTGGAGAATGCCTTATCTGACTTTAGGGGGAAGAGGGGTGACGACCCTCAGCCACACAGAGTGGAAACTTATGGCCAGAAACTATCCTCCTCTTTACATACACACGCACATAGGGTGGCAACACTTATGGACACCTGCAATCAACTGATATGCAATGTGACCCTGTCTTATAACTTAACAGGTGATTTTCAAGTATGAGAAAGGCAGCAGTGATCCATTGAGCCTACGAATAGGAGTAGTCTTGAATTTGAAGAAATCATAATTTAACACATATTTGTATTTTACTTGGTATAAAATACAGGAAAAACGATACACCGGACAGTGAGTGAGTGTGTGTGTGTGTGTGAAAGGGCATGTTATACTCAGCATTGTGGTGCTTTTGTTTCTGTCAGAACCTTCATAAAGATATGACTTAAAAACAATCTGATGCTTCAAATTACAGCAAAAAGTGACCAGACGTAGTCAGTTTCACCTGTCTAGTGGTGTATATCATGGATTCCAACACCTCAAAGAAAAGACCAGCACGCTAAACCACCAGCTGGTGTTTATTGAGACCATTAATCACCAGAAGGTGTTTAATGGACCTTTTAACTACCAATGGGTAGTTACTGGACGACACATCTGCCAATCACTAAAATAGCAGCTTCCCATTGGTCAGTTTCAGTTGGCTAGATGACAATCTTTATTTGCAAAAAGGGATGAAAGAAAGCTACTTATATGGACAACAGAATCTAATTCAATAGAATTGAATTTTGGGGTCTCCAGTGATGCTATATAATGTGCCAATTTGGCTAGTGGACTGAATGATGCTTTTAGTCCAGGTCTTGCCTCAGGCATCACAAAAATGGATGATTTACAAGAACACAGACCTCCTGGTTCAGAGTAAAAAGACTGACTTTCGTTGCCTGTTGCTGTAAGATTCTGTGTGTCTTTACTTCTCTTTCAATACAAATAGATTCAAATGATGGTGGATGTACCAACTACTAAGTAGCTAATACCAGCTTAGAAAAGAACAAGAAATAGTCACGCATTCAAGTACTGAAGTTACCAACCAAGGATTGAGGTGTTCAAAAACCCATCATTCCTAGAACTATCGCAGAATGAAACTCATTGTCACCAAGTACAGTAGGGGCATTATCATTAGATAGCTTTAAACAATGTGTAGAATTTGATGTTCAAGGATTAGGTGTAAAAAGTCGTGTGGTGTAGTATAGCCAGCTGCTGCTGTGCCGCATGCCCGCAAAGCTGGTGTGTTATGTCAAAGGGCTATTATACAGGCTATACAGATACAAACATTGGCACCGACCTTTTGCACAGGGCCCAGGCATTGCAGCATCTCTTCTGGCTCCTTGTCACTGGGTTTGGCACACACGATGTCAGACAGGGCAGGAGAGAAGAGCGGTTCTGGCAACTCACGCAAGAAGTCCTTCAGAACACCTGCAGGAAGAAGACAGTTATCATATCAAAATTGAACAAGTTACAAAAGACTTGAAGATGCTGTGATAAAAAAGAAAGCATAGCATCTTACATAGATGAGTGGCCCAGTAGTGCCAAGTGAAACTTACCTGTTACCACGTTGATGTCAGGGTACTTGTCTGCTGAGATGTCTGTTCGAATGCTGTCGATCTCAAACTCATCACGTAGGTCCTTCTTTCTGTAAGCTGAACCACAGAGTCTGGAAAGGGCAGAGAAATATATTACTGTTATGTTAGCTAATACTGTGTAGATCTGGGTGCTCTACTTACCAGCATGTATAAGTGACAAATTGGCAAATGACAAAAAAAGACTTTGACGCCTTACTCCATTCACAGTTTCTAAAATTAGTAATTAGTGATAAAGTTGAAAATGAAGTCAAAATACCTGTAGATGCCGACCACACTCAGGCCTCTGTCCTCCACCTCGCTGACACACTTCTTGACGATGAGGGGAATGTGGACCCCCCCTCCCTCCTCCTCCACCACCCTGTCCAGGTCCATCCCAAACAGTCTCCCCAGGCCGGGGGAGGGGTTCAGGGAATGGACACCATCCTCCATGTTGGGGTCAAGGGTCAAGGTCACGTACATGGTGCCCCTCGGGTCCATCTTGAGTGCGATTTTCTCGTTGGCCTGTCTGGTGAGGTGGGACAGGTTCAGGGTGCCGGCACAGTTCACCTTGTGGCGTCGGATGTTGTCCCAGTTGTAGAAGTTGAAGCAGATCTGGTACGCGTCGTTGAGCTCGAGAGCGAACTTCTCGTTCCAAACCACCTCTTGCTCCCCGTCCCGGACCACGGTGCGTGCCCGCGGAGCCCCGTCCACCTCGATCACGCAGTACAAGTCCTTCGAGCTCTTCTTGAACACCTTCATCCCCTTCAGGCTATACAGTTCTATGGCCAGGATCCCTGAAACGGGACACAGGCCCCCCTTGTTCCCATCATCTGATTTGCACTTCTTGTAGCTCCCCAGGTCCACACCTCGGCCTGCAAGGTCACCGTTGGGGATTTTCTCCATAGTTCTGTCATTGTTTGAGCGGTCACGGTTAAACGAGCGGTACAGGCGCGTTCGAGTGAACACGCTGCTCACCCCTCCTCCTCCTCTCGTTGTGCTTCCGTTGTCGCTGTTACTCGTACTGTCCAGATGATACTTGGCGACCACTTTCCCTTTGTTTTGTAGAGACGACAGCTTCTGCTCCGGCGTTAGAGCGATTTCAGGCAGCAGGGCGTGGTTTCGCTGGGTCATTTTCGGGCTGTCATCGCTGTCCGTACCGATGTTGGCCCGGTTCTCCTCCTCCACGGATTGCGACCGGTTTGTCGCTGGTTTCTTCCAGCCGAACTTGCGTACCGTTGTTGGTGACAGCTGGGACAGAGCGGACCAGAACCCTTCTCGCTTGGGGGACCGGCTCCGAGACAAATCTGTTAAAGAGAAGAAAAACAAAATTTAGAACATTTGGTAAGGAACCAAATTTTTCTATAATATATAAAAAAACATATCATCATCTAGATTCAAGAGAATATTTTAACCTTCTTAGGATGTACCTGCTGGTTCATCCCATAACATGTACAGATTTTGTGCCAGCAGGGAGAAGGTTAACACACAAAATTTCCCAACTTACACAACAAATAAATAGATGGCCATCACATTTCACCATTTCTTTACATAAACACTCCAAAGCACATTTTGTACAGGCTATACATCTATCTTAAGTCCAATCATTCACCTGACTGACCCCAAAATATCTGACCCTACCACTGTCCACGTGCCCTACAGGGTCAACATATCCACCTAACCAACCATTCAAGGTCGCCACAACCACCTAACCAACCATGTAATGATATAAACACAGCCCACCTGGTCTAACACCTGAGTTACCTGCTCCCAGCATGTAAGACTTACAAACTGATCTGTGACACATTTTAACCACACAGAAGCTACAGAATTCATGCAAGAAATTGTCCTCACTCTACACCATCCAAAGACAGTCTATTTTCTCATCCTCAAGCTCAAGAAAAACCTACCCTCTTGTGTATGGGATCGTTTTTTATCTTGTCTATACACAGGAAATATATAATCCCTTTCTTGGTAACCTTATTTGGGTGGGAGGAGAAAATCGACACCAAGTTCAGGCTAAAGTCCCCAGACAAATCATCTACAGTCTGCCCCCACCCCTCACCCTCTGGGCAAACCAATTTACTGCTACAACATCAATACAATTGGATCTTGGCACTGGGGTAGGAAAGCAGGAGATTTGATCAGTGATAGTGTCCCATGTAGTATCGATTGCTACCAACCTGTAAAATTTACGGTTTTTGCTAGAAGGACCCTCAGTTGGTGGCAGTTTTAAATCACAAAGAAAAACAAAGGTCACAGCCACTCAAGATATAGCAAGTCTCGACAACTACTTGTCTACATGTTAGCGCCAGCCTCGCTGGCACCAGCTCTGTTTACTTTTGCATCCAAGTCTTCTTCTTAATTGAGCAATAAATCAGTCAAAACTGCAAGAAACCAAGTAGGTGCAAATTTACAACAATAGCAGGGGAAAGACTTGAGCAGAATTTCATGTGACTGATTTGTTAACAGTTGTAAGGAACAAATTGTTAGTGAATAATTGCAGTTGGCATGTTCGTAGGCGGCTTGGAGTCCATAACATTCAGGACACAGTTAGGTACAACAGACTTAGATGGTACGGCCACCTCCAGAGGATGGACAGGGACAAATGGCCGAAGAGGATCCTCACACTGGACGTGGAGGGTCCAAACCCCCGTGGCCGCCCCAGAAGAAAATGGTATGACAACGTACGGGAGGACCTCCACCACCTGAACCTAGATAAAATTGACCCACAGGACAGAGGCAAGTGGCGTGCTGCCATCAAGCCCCAGACGTATTGTGCAAGCACGTCTAACCCTCGGAAGACGGGGAACAACAGACGATAAACCGGACAGTGAGTGAGAGTGAGTGATGTTAGACTGAAAAGATAAATCCCCTTGGAACACACATCCCAGATATTTAATATAATGGAAAATTTGATTAACACTGCCACTACGCTTAGAGCTTACTAATTGGGATTCACAGAAAACAAACCTAAGGGTCTGAAAGGGGGTAAATGATTCAAGTTTACGTTAAGATTCAAACACATCAAGGTTTTGATACCAAACTCCCATTTGATTATGAAATAAGACTTAAAATGTCGAGTATAGGGAAAATTGTATCCCATTAGTAAAGCTTGATAAAATATTCTTACAGTACATCATTCTGTATCGGTATAGCCAGTATAACTGCCCTTCAGCGTAACATACCAGCTTTGCAGGTCAGGCACGCGGCGCAGTGGCAGCTGGCTACATTACACTGAACGACTTGTTACACATAAACCTTGAACATCTAACTCTTAACATTGTTTAAAGCCATCTAATGATAATGCCCCTACTGTACTGGGTGACAGCGAGTTCCACTCTGCGATAGTTCTAGGAAAGAATGACTTTTTGATCACCTCAATCCTTGGTTGATAATTCTGGTACTTGAAGGCATGACATCAAACCTTTAATACATTGAATAAAACAGACTCTGGGTCTGGTTGAAACTTGTGTTATTGAACTAGATGATCAATCAAAGCTGGCACAAAGGGAAGAAAATAAGCACCACAGGAAGGGTGTGCCCAAAGGCCAGACCAATCACAATTTTCAAGACCGCACAATTTCCCCCTGCGTTGCCAGACATGAATACTCAAAAAGGACAAAAGGCCAGAACGGTAATTACATGTACATGCATAACGTTACGGCGGCAGTGCAGAGCTACACACGTATGTAGTGAATGTCTTTCAAGTTGGGCGCAACCTTTTCTTTTCTTGCCAAGAAGCAAGCAAAGAATCGTTACAGTCTAGAGAATAAAGAAGATACAGCCCATAACTGTCACGTCTTATTCTGTTGCCATAGCAATATTCCTCGAAATACAATCGGTGACATTTTCATGTTCAGACTTCACAATTTTCACACAAAAGTGTGTGTATCTAAGTAAAGGGCGTATCTTTTACTGTTCGTCAAGACAGTTGGTGAGAGAAAGACTAATATCATAATCCGTATTACCAGGTAAACATATTACCGGAAAACATCATAAGCTTGACCGACTTTGTCTCCTAACAGCTCGTGACAGCTCAGCACGTCAAGCGACGGCCGACTGTCTCCCAGAGACAAGTCAGGATTGGATCTACACTGAAGATTCACCCAGCCGTACCCACGTAGGGATGAACCCACAAAGGCAGGTTTTCTCCCTGAATGAACAGGCAACATTTCGGACATGATAATTATGCACCTGCCCCCAGGCTTCAAAGGGACATGTGAATACATTTTGGTAAAGTAAAGCCCTGCAGAAAAACACTCTTTAAGAGATCTAATCGGGGTGCCTCCCTCTGTCCTGGCATAATTACAAGGTACCGGACACAGCTTTACGTTTATCTGTTGAAACCTTTACTTGTAAGGCCGTTACAGACACACAATACCTGCTGAGCTGAGGATATTCAAACTCTTTCAGGCTATTCTATGGTACTCTGCAAGCAGAGGTTTTGGTCAGGGATGCTTTTGTAACATTTTTGTGTGGCCTTTTCTAAAATTCTAAGTTTCCTAATAATTTCTTTCATTTTCCTCTAATGTTTCCTAGCATTTTCTTTCATTTATATGCCTCCGGAACAACAACAAAAGTTGAGGTTTTGTATTGTTTAGATGTAAACATAAAATCGAATAAAAAAACACAGCTGTCATATTTATAGTAAAACAGGAACAAAATTGAAAAACAAGAGTTGGTAGCATCAAAAAGCAATAAATCATTGCTTTCTATAGCTTAACTTTTCTAAATCAAAACCAACAGCTGTAAATTTTCGTGGCAGCCATGTTCATAGCTTGCTATAGAGGCCATTCATGTCATTGTGTGTCCAAGACTGATGGGTGCTTCTGATTCTATCCTCTTTGACCTTTCAAGTCACTGCTCAATGACCTTTGACACACAGACAGGTGCATCTTGACCCCTAACCCAGTTGAAGGGTACACAAATAACCTGAACTCCAATTCAAGATAATTGTAATAAATAGAGGAAGATCTAAACCAGAGCAAAGATTGCAATATCCATGTTAGCTTTGGTCTCTAAAGACTCAGCTTTTCCCTTCCTTATGAGCAGCGAAATGCTCCAAATGAGATTATAAAACCTTTGACACTTGTAGAGTCATTCCATCTGTTGCTGCTACCAAGGGTTTGTACACTTCTGTGTTGAAAAAAAGGCTTCAAGAAAAGACATACAAAGTCTTTCTACTTACAAAACACTGTATCAAATAATGAGGACCATACAAAATCACCTGTTACCCTGTTTCATCATACCATTTTTACCTGCTGGAGTAAAGGAATTGTTATGGCTTGAATGCTATCTGAGTGCTTATCTTTCTATGTGAAAATGCTACTTGAAACTATTGTTAATCCTCCGACATATGTTTTACCATAATAGACGCTATCTAACTCTGTTACTATGTCTATGTCCCTCACAAGTTCATGCCCGTGATAGAACACAGAGGGGTACTTTACTCTTCTTCACTTATACCTGAGCCACAACAGGCATGTTTCTCTGGCGCCAGGTCCTTTCTGTTTTGACACTGACAAATCGCCGACATGATAAGGTCTACTGCCCACACCCTATGAAATATTTTCAAGGTATTACAAGGTCAGAGAAAGTACTGATCAAGTTCTACTAGAAGACATGGCTTGTGATAAAACCCAGACACCCGAGAACACCAACCTTTACAATGTTTGCGGCTGAGGAGGCAAAAGTTTCACTTCTTCAATGCGTGGCCGCTGACAGAAAATGGATGGGGAAAAAGGGCCGCTGACATCAATATTCAGAACCATACTCCTACGTAGCTTGATTGTCTGTCATCGATTTTGGCTGCAGGTATTTCCGAGTCCCCAGCCAATTAATTTATGCTATCTAATGATGACCTTCAAAAAAGTAGGTCAACAAAATGGCTAGCTTTAGGTCTTACCACTTAGATGCACTTGATTGCACAATTGATAATCTTTTTGATAAGAATATCTGAATTTGATATGTAAAAATAGTGCCCCAGGGAAAGCAAAACAGGGTGGGGCAAAATGTCTGTTCGACAACACCTACCTCCATATTCATTTTATATGACTGCCATTAAAAAATGTCAGAAACCCATAAACCCATTCTTCTTCTTCAATTTTTCCCTTTTTCTTTGCAGCATCCTTATTAATTTTCAGCAATATTGGTGCCCAATTGCTCCCCATACATATCCTTTGCTCACTGATTGAAACTACAGCTCTCGAGGGAGGGCTAAAATGGCTCATAAACCCTTTGTTCTCCTCACACTAATGAATGAGACTTACAATTTACAGCATTACTATATTTCAATGGGACAATA